GCCATCCTCAGGGACAAAGGGACAGCTGGGGGACCCTGTCCCAGGGGTACCTTACTCAAACAGCCAGCAGAGAATGTGGAAACCTACCCTAGGACCATCAGATGCTTGCAAAAAGAACAAACAAAAAAAAGCCTTTATAGAAAATTTGACTTTTTTTTTTTCCCGACATGAATGAAATAATTTTTAAACAAGACCCCCTCCCCAAACTTCCCCTCCCAAGCCAAASAGCAAACAGAAAAATTCCCCCCACACTTGTGCCCCTTGCCCACCCTCCCCGTGCCCTCCCAGCACCCCTGGAAGGTTCAGCTACTCCTGTGTCCATGTTGGGCTCTTCACCCTCCATCCACAGGGCTTTTGCTCTGCAGGATGGCGCTCGGAATGTCCCCAGTGCCCCCATGGGACCTGTGGATGTGACCCAGYTGTCCCCCTGGCCATCCAGGCTGTCCTCTTGCTCTGCTGCCTGCTGGCACCCATTCCCAGCACGGTGCTGGACAGCCAGCCCGAGATCCAGCATCCCACCTTTCCAMCCTGGCATTCCAACCCCACTTGCCATTTTTAGGAGCAATTATTCCAAATCAGCCCAAGATCCACCATTCCACCTTTCCAACCTCTCATTCCAACCCCTCTTTTCCATTTTYAGGAGCRATTATTCCAACCCAGTCCAAGATACAGCATCTCGGCTTTCCAACCTTACATCCCAACCCCTTCTTCAATTTTTAGGAGCAGTTATTCCAATTCAGCCCAAGATCCACCATTCCACCTTTTCAACTTCGTATTCCAACCCCTTTTTCCAATTTTAGGAGCGATTATTCCAACCCAGCCTGAGATCCAGAATTCCACCCTTCCAACCTCACACTCCAACCCCCTTTTCCATTTTCAGAAGCAATTCCCCTTTCCATCCTGGCATTCCAACCCCACTTGCCATTTTTAGGAGCAATTATTCCACATCAGCCAAGATCCACCATTCCACCTTTCCAACTTCTCATTCCAATCCCTCTTTTCCATTTTCAGGAGTGATTATTTCAACCCAGCCCAAGATCCACCATTCCACCCTTCCAACCTCACACTCCAACCCCCTTTTCCATTTTCAGAAGCAACTATTCCAACCCAGCCTGAGATCCACCATTCCATCTTTCCAACCTCTCATCCCAACCTCTTTTTCCATTTTTAGGGGCAGTTATTCCAATTCAGCCCAAGATCCAACATTCCACCTTTCCAACTTCGTATTCCAACCCCTTTTTCCATTTTTAGGAATTTTGATTCCAGTCCAGCCTGAGACCCACCATTCCGCTTTTCCAACCTCACTTTCCAACCTCACGTTCCAACCCCCCTTTTCCATTTTTAGGGGCGATTATTCYAACCCAATCTCCCATTAATAACCCCAAGCTCC